CATCTTGTCGCGTACATCCCTGCAAAATTTGAACGACCAAGGTCTAAACTGACTATTTTTGAGGAAGCCCCGCCCCCAGTGGGCGGGGCCTACACCTGTCACCTACCTTCAGCTTTCCCATCTTGCCGCCTGCATCTCTGCCAAATTTGAATACTCCAGGCCCAGGAGAACAGGAGTTACGGAATTCCGCTGAACTACAGTTTTCGCGCACGCCCCGCCCCGAGTGCGACGCTCTGCCCCTGGAGGGCGGAGCTAGCTTGAGTCACGTGTACCCAAGAGTTCGGCTCATTCCTCACTTGTTCCAACCTGTCTGAGCTCTTCCTCTTGGTCTCCAAATGGCACCATATAGGATCGTGTTACAGACAGACAGACAGACAGACAGACAAACAGAAAAACAGACAAACGGAGGTTTGCGGTTTATATATAGTAAGTAAGGATATCGACTCAATTATATCACAACCACTGAATAACAGTCAATGATCTCGCATTACTGATCCAGTAAGATGACGTGAGTGAATGACGCACAGGAAGGTTGTTCAGGCTGATTCGAATGAACTGCCTTTGTTGCGCAATATATGGGAGCATGGCTTGCTGTCCACCCGGACCAGCAAATGGGTTGAGTTCGTCGCCCATTTGTTCAGCAACACGATTGGAAATGAAGTTGGGAAGGAAGAGGCATCGTCCTCTTGCATGGTTGCACGCGTTTTCGCCCTCTTCTCGAAGCACCATCCCCTGAGGTATTTTAAGGCGGTACCCTTTAGACTTTCATATGTTCCTAACATCCAGAATTCACTACGGGCCGAAAAGCGTGTAAGAGCCGCTCCGCCGATGTTATTGAAGACTGAAAATATCCAATTCCTTCCGGAGAGCTTGCTCAGCATTGTGACCACGAACATTACCTACCTATGCATGAAATGGCATTGTTATGTACAGCATATCATTTCGAGACTTGACCCTCAATGTTGACTGGATTACAGCATGAAAAATGCTAAACTGGCTCCAAGGTCAGAAACGAATGTCGCTTACGTTTTTAAACCACTGATTCACGTCTACCGAAAATCTTTAGAAAGTCTCGAAGTCTTGGGGTGTTAATCAGTCTTCTCAGAGGGGTGCGCCCACGCATTCGACTTCCATTCAGTATCGTAGTGGCATATTGAATGCGTCGTTGTGTCCATGCTAATGAAGTTCCTACTATATTTCTGTCTTAATTCTGTTACAGTTCCTCAAAGTCTGTCTGTATAGGGCTCAAGTGAAAACTGAGGGCTGTCGCGTGCGTTTTCGGCACCTGATTCTTTTCTACTACTGCTTGGACAAGAACGCGGTCCAAGCCGCGAGAAAGATTTGTTACGTTCAAGTAGACAAAGCTCTAGTGGAAAGCAAGATGCGTGAGTGGTTTGCGAAATACAAACAGGGTGAATTCACCCCCGAATGTCGGCAACGTTCAGAGAGGCTTGCACAAAAGTCAAAAGATAATCGAATCGAAACGAATCGGCGCATCACTACTTGCGAAATAGAAATAAGACTTAGTGCTTGCTTCGAAATCAACGACCAAGACCATTTTCTGGGACCTGGTTCTGTTAAGCGCCTTGATTTTCGGTAACTCACGTACCGAACGAGCGCGATGTGATGGACCAAAGTGCTAGCCTTAACACCCCTGCTCGCAATCAGCTAGTACATTTTGGACTAGAGACTGTTCGATGCCTTCGGCTCAGAGCTAGTGTTAGGAGCGTTGCGTTATAATTTTTGTAACTTGGTGTTACCCGAAGTGGCGTTACATTCTCTTGGCGTTCACAAAGGTCTTTGATTATTTGCTTAATTTGGGAGGATAGCTATATTACGAGCAGGTGTATGTCTTGTGGCAGTGTGCAATTTTCCTTTGATAATTCTCGCACAATTGTTAAGATATTCCTTACTTCCAAACGGTCATTATAATGGCGCTGACTTGTGATAAGTGTGGCCTCAAGACTAATGAAGTGAAGAGCGGAGGAGCCATAAAAGATCACGGATGTCGGCTGTCCTTAACTATTCAAGAGGTCAGGGTTTTCATCCCTCACTGCATCTATTCCTTTCTTTCCTCTATCTGTTTTCTCGGTCCAATCACTTGATGTCATGTTGAATGTCTATATTTCCAGGATGTCGATTTGGCTCGAGACGTTCTGAAGTCAGATACGTGCTCGATGGGAATTCCAGAGCTCGATCTTGAGGTATTAGTTGTGTCTTAGCTATCATTTGTATGCGAGATTAATTGGCAACTTATTTTAGGTGGGGCCAGGTGCATTGTGTAGTCGTTTTACTACTGTCGAAGGTCTTCTCACAGCGACGAAGGAGCAACTATCTTCTGTGGGTGATCTTTTTCAGCGTTAAGCACTAGTAGAGCTACTGTAGGGGAGGTTCACAAGTGTTCTGGCTCAATTTCTGCATTAGGCATGTTAACTGTGTTATGCTCGATGATTTGAGGGATGCTGGTGTTTTGAAGGTTTTCACTCCATCGCGATGGAATGTTTTATTTGAGAACATTTTATAGCCTACATCCATGTTCGGCCTGAGTCTCTGATTTTGTTTAAACATTAATTAATTCGCTCGAACTCCTTCGTAGGCTCCCTTCTAGGATTCTCTCGCAACTTATAAAATGAGGTGCCCGTATAAGGAATGAGAACAGGGTGTCGGGTCTCCCCTGGATCACCTTCACGCTACCATTCGGACATGTGGTCAGTACTCGCACGTGTGCTGTTAGGCAAACCCTCGAACTATTCGTTCAAGCCCGCGTTCGAGTACTGACCGATTTTTACATCTGTATTGTCTTCTCAAACAGATATTATTATGTTTGCAATGTCTGACTGGTCTGGCCCTCATTCAATCTTCGAAAACATCCTGTAAAAAGTATGCTGCCCATAGAGTTAACCAACCCGGGGGACGATATCACCTTCACTGTTAATTTGAAAAGGCTTCAATAGATGTTCGAGTCTAACGAGATACACAGAAAATTCGTGGATGTTGCGATGGAAACACTGGTACCCTTAAGATGACACGAGACTGCGCTTATTGTTAGAACAGAAAATTTCGCGGCGAATTTCTCAGGAGCTCAAGGTTAGTATGGAGTGGGAGATATGATGCGGAAGAGGGTGGAGTGGGGGGGGGGGGGGGGGGGGGGGGGGGGGGGGGGGGTATTGTAAGGGCGACCGCTTCGAGAGTGGAAAGGACGCAAAGGCAGGTGATGCGTTGGTGCGACGAGTTTCTTAACCTTCGAGACAGTCAATTTTACTGCACAAATGGAAAAAGCCATTATTAGAACGTTATCCGGGTTTCTCTTTGTTTCATTATGTTTAGTAAAATATTGACTGATGACTGCGTCCCGCAAACCACTAATTTATACGTAGAAAGTTCTATGGCCAGAAAAATTTTTCTTGGGGTTTACGAAATATTCCGGTTAGTCAGTAAAATGAGCGAATATGAATGGTAAAATCATGACTTTGACGCTCTCAAGCCCACCCTAGTTTTCTAACCTATTTTGGTGAGGGTTTCGGAACTTCGGCAAACTAATTGGTAATGGTTGGACACAAACTCTTTTGGAATACCACTTGGCAGAAATATGAATGTACTCGTAAGTCAATTTACATGGGGCAAGACTATCTGAACCCTCTACAGATTCTCTATTTAATAACGAATTACAGCAGTCATCGTTCTTTATGGGTGACAGCGCTTCCAGTGGTGAGAGGAGCCAAATAGAGCAATTTCTTGAACAGTTCGATGAGGTATTCGGTTTACTTGCGACTTCATTGTTCTGTTCATTTTCTAAATAATCTTTCTATCCAGATTCTCGGTTTGAAAAGAAGTATAACTCTAGTACTAGATGATCCAGCTGGCAACAGCTATATACAGGTGAAATTCTAGTTACCTCAATTTATTTATTTATATTAAATCGGTCGGTTCGCCCGGCTAACGCCGGCTTCCCTTCTTTTTTGACAAAGTTGTAGTAATCGGCTGATTCTCCACTCCTTTTTTTAAAACGAGTGGTTGTTTCCTGTACACGAATTTTAACGCACGACTAACTGTGTAGTGCAAATAGTATTCACTGAAAGTTGGTGCTCATGCCCTTGATTGGAGATGACGATCTTTAGCTCTTTCTTGAAAATGAATACCCATCGAATTCAACTGTCAGATAACCGAAGCCTTGGGCGGTACTTACAGATGGTTCGAGCAATTTAAACACTTTTGACAGATGTCGTCATCAATGAACCCTTCTCTTTACAGAAATATTAGTTGGGCTATGCATGCTTATGTCCACGTCCGCTCATCCGTAGGTTTAAAACTTCTGCAGGTACTTTATCAGGTGATATCGAATTACCATGCAAAGAGACAGGCGCGAACGCTTTATATACAGTAAATATCATTACTTGAAAATCCGAAATTACTGACGGTCGGTCAAGTTTTATTGCAAACGATATCGAACAAAGGGGATCCTTCATTGAGTCACAAACCTTGCTGAGTAGTGGTCGTAATCTAGTAACGAAAAATGAACGAAGTTCTCATCTGCTTAGCGTAGTGCCGCTAATGAGTCCCTATCACTCGTCTTATCGCATGAAACATACTAAACAGCCAAAGCTACATCGTAAATACCGAAGGGTTAGAATTTTGATCGGTAGGTCGCCCTTGCTCTCTTAGGTCCCTTATCTTCTCTTATCACTTGTCATCGTTTCCTGTCACCGAGTACCTACGATCCCGTCATATCCCTCATCACTTAGCAAAATGTCAAGTTTCCACTGTTAATACGAAAAACTGTAATCCTACAAAATTCGAACACATTACGCCCACGGATTCGCGCCCCGTCCCCTGTGGGCGGAGTCTGGTTTTGCTACCCGTCACGAGTATTTCCCCTCTGTAGCCTGTATTCCTACCAAATTTCAACGCTCTAGCTCAACGTAAGCTGGAATTGTGATTTTGCGGTCGAAAATTTCTATCGCGCACGCCGCACCCCCTGTGGGCGGGGTGTGGTTCTGCTACTTGTCATCCATGAGTGTTCCTATCCTGTCAACTGTACTATCACCAAAATTGAACTCTCTAGGTCCACGGTAGCGGGAGCTATGTATTTCCAGTCTAACGTACACACCAACACACATATACACTCATTGCGCATTGTATATAGTAGGAAGATAATGATTAAGGTAGTGATATGGAAAACCCAGCTCTATTCCTTACTTCCTTCTTATATATTGAGCAGTGACATGGCGAGTAGGGTAATGAAGTAGAGTGAGTACTGCAGAGTGAAGTGAGGAGTGTAGGGTAAAGCCGTACTCTAGCACTCAGTGTTGGATAAGAACAATCCCCCCCCCCCTCTCTTACTACATTTTCTAAATTCTTTGTAAGAGCAAGGAATGAGGCCTGGCGTAAGCCGGTCGACCCGACTGGTTGTTGAATAAACAAGGAGGAGATGCATAGATATGTTGTGCCCATACTCATGAAGATGGTCCGTAGGTAGATAACCATCAAAGCTCCCAGACTCCCAGAATATTCCGGGGGACAGCGAAGTTTTTGTCAAATGCTTTCCGCACAAGTTAATACAACTGATGTATGAATTCTGGCAGCCCATTTTCATTTTTTCATACAGAGCTTGAACGCTTCAAACGAGGATTCGCGTTTGCGCAAAGAGTTCTACGACCGGACATTCGAGCAGAATGACGAACTGGGCCTGAATGATATGAAGGTGACTTCTTGATTCTTTCACTTGCTGAGCTAATCTAATCCGGAGAATAGATATCAAGGTATAGATAAGGCGATTTTCCTACCCAAACTTTTCTTTCCAGTTTTTTTATCCTCATAAAAGTCTATATACATCGTTCGAAAGCTCTTCTTTGCAATATTCGAATATAGTCCCTATTCCAAAAGTGAATCTGTTAGATTCCCGTTCACTATACAAATAACTTTAAATTCATTGCAATGAATAGATGCACGAATTATGAGTTTCTATTCATTGCGCAGATTTGCTCGTGAAGTGCAACAACAAGCTACAATTTTATCCAATGTATCCGCCACTAGCACCCAAAGAATCCCAAAGTCTGTTCTCAAAGTCTCGGCAAAATGCGCGTAGGCATCCTTCCTCCTTGGCTCTGTGGACTCGATTTTCATGCTACTGGGAAAATTGGCTTTGTCGCGAGAATTTTCTCGTGAGAGAGAACGATGAAGGGATGCTTACTCCCCCTCAAGTGAGTCAGCAACCCCAGCAGATGGTTATTTCTCGGGACTAATCAAGTCAGAAAGCTGGCGTTGACACCATTCTCAGACAGGCTTGGCTCTGTGGACTCGAGTTCCATCCTACTGGGAAAATTGGCCTTGTCGCGAGAACTTTCTCGTGAGAGAGAACGATGAAGGGATGCCTACTCCCCCTCAAGTGAGTCAACAACCCCCTGTGACTTCTGACCCTCCACTGTCTGTTGGGATCTAAAGTGACACTGATACTGATGCTGGTACCTCAGCATGCGATAGGAATGGCAAGGAAGCTTTGACTTTTACAATCCGTCAAGTCCTGCTTCGTGCCGTTGCTTTTATGGGCTACCCAGGATTACGATCTACTAGCAAACAGACTGTATTCATAGTCGTATGTTTGGAAATACCGGCCTTCGTGGCCCTCCATTTTTTCTTCGATTTATTCTGCTCCTCCGTACCGCTGGATAGCGTTCTCTACGGTCTTTACTGAAATCAGAAGCACACATAACATACATACATACATACACCCATACATATATACATACATACACACATACGTGCATATGCGCACACACATACATACGTACATCATTCATTCATACAAATACACATACATACATACATACATACACACATCTCATATACACACGCACAGGTACACACACATACACATACACGTACAAATACGCATACACATACACACACATGCACACACAATAACCGTTCCTGATAGGAGAAATTTCACTTGGAAAAAGCTGTTTAAGTCAATATGTTAACAACCTGGTTCGAATTGATATTATGAACATTGTTTTCTACTTGTTTCGCTGACTCAAATTGTTTTTGAAATTATTTCAGGTGGAAAATTACGGTGAGCTCGAGACTCTGAAGGAGGATGCCGATGAAGGAAATGCTTCCGAATGAAGTTGGCAGTTGTAGTGAAGAAGCATGACCACGTTACTTGCTGTCAATAGTGCTGAATTTATTTCAAATCAATTGAATGCGAAAAGTTTTGGTGCTCAGTTTCGTGATTTCTGATTGTTTTTTCTGTTTTTTCTCCACAGCTATCTGTTTCTTCTTATGTTTCAATATTCTCTCCGTACTATCCTACCATAACGTAAAACCTAATAGTATTGGATTCGATTTCTATATAGAACTGTATATCTCGGAGCACTTGCAACAACATCTCAAAAAGAATGAAATCTGCAGTGCAACTTTTCGATTTTGGCGTCACTTAATGGGTCCTGGTTTCCAACTGAGAACCCTCATTCTGCGCTCATTATCAATCCGACGAAAATAGTTTATGAGGCCAGGCTCATGCAAAATGTGCCGCCAAATATATGAAGTCAAAAGTATGTATGTATTAATGTGGTACAGATTATGACGAGTAATAATGACTACCTATAATTAGGTCTCCAATCCATTAGGTAGCTCAGTTTTGTTAGCGGTTCTTCTTCATTCACTTTTCCCTTCATGGTTATATTTCCCATTAAGATACTTTTTCCTACTTCTTTTTTTATCAAGTTGATGACTCTTCTTACATTTAATGAATCTGATAAATGTGATTAGAAAAATGGCAAGCACAAAAATTGTGTTTTACTCCTTATCAATTCAGCGGTTATTTTGTTGTCAAACCTCTTGGGAGTCCTTTGCGGATCATGAGTTTTTTATGAAATACACTCTACCGTTTCTTTCGTACCCAAGAAATTTTTTTCTGATGCCTGTTGGCATCGCTCATTTTTGCATATCGTTGATTTTATTAGACGGCATTTATAGAATAGCATAGCAGCATAAATCAACCAGTCAGAACGCCCGGCTGGGGTTTCTCCCTATTCTTCTCAGTGTGGGTTTGCTATTTCCATCTCTCTAGGTTAATTCTAAGAATGAACGTTCTGGTCCGGGAGAACAGGAGGATGAGTTCACGGCCAAACACAACATCTCAACACACTTCGCCTTGTACGCGATGCATGTAGTCCTGCTCAAGTCATACAATTTCAAATATAATAACTTAGCTCACTTCACTCTCACGCTCATTTCGCGCATCCTTCGAACTTACCATTAGTCCGGCCGCATACCATTATTGTTCCACCTGCCGCCTACATTATATCCGAGTTTGAATGCTTTAATCCCAGGAAGACTATTTTCGCTCTTGCGTGCGGAGTCCAAACCTGCCTATGCATTCCAAATTTAAACTTTCTAGGCCCACGTGAACAGGATTTATAAATTTTTCCAAAGGCACATCTCCCTATATTCCCCGTCCCATGTATGCGGAGTCCAGCCCTGTTACCTACCAATTGTATTTCCGTCTGCTTCCTCCACTCATACTTAATTAGAAAAAGGAGTCTAGGGGGAGGGTAAGTTATAGACTTCTGGCGAAACACACATTGACATACACACAAGTACACACGCGACACACATACATTGACGGGTATGGATACATACGTGCGTCCAAGGATGCGCGCGGCGAAATTCGTGGCGATTCGAACGACTCTGGCGCCACAAACTTGAAGTATTAGTAGTCTAGCAGGGTCAGCCAATCCTACTAATCTATTCAAGTTAAAATTTGGGCCCCAATGACAGGCGCCAAAGTCGTTCAAATCACCACGGATTTCGTCGCGCGCATCCTCGGCCGCACGAAAGTTCCGTCCCCCATACATTGACACACATCCATTTGCGCGCACACACATCGGCACACATGCACACCGACAAGCAAACAGACACACTTACAGTTAGTGCTTTATATGTAGTAGGACGGTCCTCACATGAGCCTTGATGAAGAGCGAAAGCACTATTTCGAAAAAGTCGCCTACAAACCATCGAACGAACTTTTGTGTGGGAGAGAGAAGAGGGCGGGGGGGGGGGGGGGNGGGGATTGGGGAGTGTCGGTACAGAGCGGAAGGCATCAAGGAGCATCCAATTACTGCAGAATTTCTATAGACAATCGAAAAACCTTGTTTGGGCGGAAGACGTTCGATTCGTGCGATTCCGGGTCCAATTTGCTCCGCGCACCCAGAATCGCACGAATAGACACATACCCTGTTTGGGCATAACCTTTTTTGAATGCGCCAATTTCCACCCGCCACATATACGACACTTAGAAAAAGGACTTTGGGCAAGGACTAGTGGGTGGTGGGTTAGCTACGAGACTGTATGGTGCATTCTTGATAATGATGCGTAAACTATGCAGCGCTCCAATGCTAGAGAAATGAAAGGGCCACAACTGCGGTGTGCAGACGCATGTAGTCGACGGAGAATGTCTCTTGATGCCTTCCGCTCTGTAGCACTGTCGGATCGAGGAAGGAGGTGGGAAGGAGTCTTGACACATTTTTTAGATCAAACTTTCTAGCATGGAAATTAGTTGGAGAGAACGTGTCCTTCATTATGGGATAGTAAAAGCATTGAAGCTGATTAAATTTGGTGATACGCACTGGAAAGTACAAGTGATAAGATGAGGTAATTCGAAAAGTGAGAACCTGAGAGTTCATTTTGTTCCAGCCACTTGGTACTTCGATGAGTGATTGAGGACCTTAAAATTATCGGCGTCTTAGAAACTGATGTTTTGGGCTGAAAAGGGGGTCAAAAGGCCAAAACAGCGGTCAATGTCGATTTGATGGTGATGTGGGCAGTGAAGTTATTGTTGGTGGCTGAAAGGGGCATCAACCGTTTGAACGCCGATGGAGGTCAGTCAGTACTAGACTGAAGAATAATATTAAGAATGATTTTGTCTTGATGTTTTGTTAACTGCTGTTATTTCGCCGCAGTACTTGCGAAAGTCTTACTAGGTTGGCGATTTATGGACAAATTTTCAGTCTCGGACGGGACTCAAACCCGTACTTGCGCTATCTATTTTTTGTCTTTCAGCATGAATTACAGTCGAGTTACACCCTTCATCACATATCGAGGTAGCAAGGCTTCACTATTAATACTAAAACTATTATATTAAACATGTAGCAATTTAGTATTGAGTAACGATCAACGGAGACTTGAACCGAAGAGAGCAGTGGTTTTGACCGAATCCGCCGAGGACAGAAAGAGCATCCTCAAGGCCCGAACTTGAGGATGCTCTTTCTGCCCTCGGCGGATTGGGTCAAAACCACTGCTCTCTTTGGTTCAAGTCTTCGTTGAACAAAAAAACTAAAACAAAACTTGACATGCCATCACGTCAGTGAAGAATCGGACCGAAAGTGAGTCGTCGATGGCGCTCGGTCTTGATAAGTCCGATCAAGAACATATGAAGTGCCCACCAGTATTGTGGAGCCCCGTAGTAGCCTCCTAATACGATTTCTTTCGGAATCGAACATCTGAAGAGCTTCCCACCAATTATTGTAGGAACCCTTGCTAGGTTCCTAATATGGTTTCTCTCGGAATCGAAGGTAATAACGCTTGGAAAATTAGCAATGCTGTGTTGCTGTATAGAAAGGGAGACGAACTACCACTTAATCTGCGTGCTATATGCAATCAGTAAACTTTGCAGAATGGGAACTTCCCATCCTTCAGACAATGCTAAATGAAAGG